AAAAAAAAATAGAGGAGGAGGGATGCATGGCTATTTGTCTCAAAATATCTTCACATGAAGATAAACTGTTTGTGCTCTATTTTGAGTATCAAAAAAAGAAATGTCAAGGCTTAAAATGCTGTGAAATGTGTGATTTGCCTCCCTGATGTAGGGGATTAGTTTTGCATTAGGATAATTTCCTGATGCTGTGCTAAATTAAGTGTGAGGGTTTTTGTTGCGCAGATATAGGCATTTAATGTCCTACAGAATGACTGATGAATTGCCCAGCTGCTGAGCATTGTTGCATTCTTTTTTAGAACAGAAACATTATGTGTTAATGAATCTGAAATAATAAAAATGCAAAGATTATTAGAATTCATATACCTGTGAAAAACGGATGCAAAATTAGTCCTTTCAACAACAAGAAGTTATCCATGTTGTTAAGGGCAGCAGCAGTTCTTTTTAAATTGAGGTATGTTTATTAAAAAGAGCCAAGCCGGTTGGTTAAAAAGAGCCAAGTGTATCTGGAAATGTGAAAAAAAAATGCTCAGCTTGAGCATGTTTTGTGAAGTTGTAGAGAAGTTTTGGTTAGAGTTAAATTTAGGGATGAACATAACAAAGCTGTTCTTTGTTAACAGCTTTCTTGCCTTGCATGTGTCTTCACTTTGAGCGTTTTCATGCTTGTGTGTTGGGACATTAACTAATCTCGGCAGATCGGGGAGAACTGATCACAAGCAACCTCACCACTATGACAAATAAATCCAGTTTCCAGAAGGGTGCTGGAATTATTTCAGAATTTTGGAGATTGTTACTTAGGTTTATTACAAGAAGTTTTTTACTTTTTTTTCTTGTTCTATTTTTTAAAACTTAAAAATGCCTGTGATTCTTTAGAGCTACTGAGCCATGCTGAAAAGTTTGTGAGTTGAGTATGTATCATTGCCCTCGCCCAGCAAGTTGCTAGTCATGGGCGTTCGTTCAGTGGCAGTATCATGTTGACCTGTTTGTCTGTTTTAGCTATGAGCTTTAGCTATGAGCCATAACACTTGTTTTGTTTTTGTCACTCGGAATAGTGGGAACTGTTCTTCCATCTGTCAGTGTTTTTATTTTTTTCTTATGGATAAATGTTAATATTTCCTATTCACCTCCTTTTAAGCTTTGAATTGAATTAAGGCTCTTTTATTTGCTTGCCTATCACTAAACAGAATAGGAAAGCCAACAGTTCTAGCAAATCATTCTAATAGGTTAGAAATACTGTGTACAAATGACCCTCTTGTAATCATTCTTGCTTCTGCTCTACAGGCTTTAAACATTGCGAAATCTTTTTTTATTGCTACACTATTGACATTATTGATTTGTCTGTATTTTTCACTGTGGGTATTGCTAACAAATCGTGAAGTGTTCTGGTTTTAATGAAATAACGATACTCTACTACTTCATCAACCCAAACTCTAAGAAGTGATATTTCCTCCGCCAGTTTTTGGAAAACAAACTAAAGTTTATAGAGAAAGTAAGCAAGCAGGGTCCTTCGTTTGCCCTGTCCAGACAGTTAAAACGTGGGGGAAGCTAGCACAGCTTTGTAACCTTTCTCGGTGAGCTCACTCGGCACCTTTCTGTCCTCAACGCACGATGACCGCACAGCCAAGCTAACTGTTTTTTTCACGTGCACAGATGCACCTTGCAGTTACTTCCTTTTCTAGTGTTATGCTTAGTGTGCATGGACTGCCTCAAATAAAGTAATGTATGCATGCACAAGACCCTGGAAGGTAGGCAGTGCAAAGCTATTTATGTCCCTGTGCAGGACTGTTGGTTCAGCTGAAAGTTGCCGGGCTGGAGGGCCTTGGAGCAAACAGCGCGCGGTGCCAGCAGGCATCTGTGTGATTATCCCATTAGAACCGAGGAACATCTGCATTAGCAGGGCCGGTGCAGGATGGAAGAGAACATGATGTCCTCTAATCTTGGCGGGGAGCATTATGGAGTTAAAAGGATAACATTTTACCAAATCTGTGTTTCAAGTTGAGAAGTTACACTTAATTACCTTTTTAATTACCTTTCTTCTGTTGCTGGGTCTTATGTTAAAGACTCTGTTTTGAGCCCTCATCGCAGGCTTTTGGTGCCTTTGGATAGTTTGTGCCTGGTGTTTTTGGGGTGTGTGTTTGGTGGGGGGGTTGAATCATAATGAAAAGCTGGTCCTTTTGTCTGTCTAGAAGGCACTTACTCTGCAGCTCATTTTTTCCGAGTGTGGGAAAAGGTCTGTGAATAATTAATTTTAGATAGTGAAGACAGTAGTGTGGCAACTAGAAGTGTATGTTTTCCATGACTTCAGGTGTAAAGGGCAGCCTCGCTGACCTGTTTTATGAGGAAGGAGTAGCTGTGCATGGCAGAGGCCACCCAGGAGCAAGAGGAGATTATTTCAGCTTTGCAGCGTGAGCCAGGAGAGTGCATTGGCTTGAATAATATAGGCTTCTTTTTTTCCCCTCTTTTCCCTTGTGGGAATCTGATTTCCTGATCACCTATCTAGCCATATGCCATGGCTCTTGCCAGGAACTCCTAGCAGTGTCATTGCTAGCTAAAATTACTCGTCTTCAGAGAACTCAAATATGCTGAGAATCGTCTTCAATTGCTACGTTGGCAGCATCACAAAGATTTTGTGCATACACACAAAAAAAATGTTACAGCCACTTTACCTTGCAATCCAGCTCAGAACCTGTGCTGGAGGGGCAGAATGAGCTGCAGATGCTGCGAGGTGCTCAGCACCTGCTCAGGCTCAGCGTGTTCCTGTTCCATCCCAGGGCTTGTCGCAGCTTGTCGCAGCTTTGACACCTACAGCACAATATTGATACGTACAAATCAAACATTTACAAAGAAACCATATTTTCTACTCCATTTTTGTAGCAGCTGCCCTGAAGGCTTGGTATACCCGGTAAAAACTTGTAATGTTTTGTGGTAACTTTATTCCTTTTCTTTCTTTAACAGGATGGAAGTGAAATACAATTATATGCTGACCCAGGAGTCAGACTAAGACTGAGTCCTGCTCTCTGACCTTGCTGTAGCTGGACCATGAACTTGCTCTTTGGCTTCATGCTTTAGAAACCTTAGTAGTAACTCAGTGAAGCTGCTGGAAATCATGGCATTCTCTCCATGGAAGCTGTCCTCTCAGAAGCTCGGCTTTTTTTTGGTGACTTTTGGTTTCATTTGGGGAATGATGCTTCTGCATTTTACTATTCAGCAGCAAACGCAGCATGAAAGCAGTTCAGTCCTGCGTGAACAAATTTTGGATCTCAGCAAAAGATACATCAAAGCATTAGCTGAAGAAAATAAAAATGTTGTAGATGGGCCTTATGTTGGGACAGTGACAGCATACGGTAAGTGCCTGTTTGAGATTATGTGATAATTTGATTAAGGTTTTTTCTAAGTGTATGAACATTACCCTTCAAAATGCTGCTTTATTGACCTTACTTCCAAATTCCAGTCTTCTGTTCTTAGTCTCCGTCACCATTGAATGTGAGTGTTACATCGTGGTAATAGGAGGAAAAAAATAAGAGGGTAAATTATAATCAGATTATTTCTTGATTTAGTGACTCAGCGTAGCTATTTAAAGTGTGTTATCCAGTAAACACCTCAATTCGTTCAGAACTATGCCCCTTTCTCTTTTTAAAGTAACACTAATCCAGGTTAATTGGCTTTCCTGGAGCACTTCTACCAGTTAGCACAACTTCATGAACCCTCCCTAAGGATAATAAAGTAATTGACACACGATTTGCCAACTGTTTAAAGGTTTCTGCTGTAAAGATAACTGTGCCAGTGACTTGAATGCAGCACTTGGAAACTTTTACATTTCCGTTCAAAGTAACAGTGTGCATGTCAATGACCAGAATGAGAATTTTGATCGCTTGTTCTTTCAACTTGAGACCAGTTCTGTATTTCTTCAGTGTGTTCTCTTGAGTGAGTGTTTTTGCAGAAATATTGTAATGTAACATCTATTGAACTGGAATAAATGGTAGATATGGTGCTGAAGATAATGAAGAATTGAGGAAAATAACTGGAAGATTATAAGGAAACTACTTCTAAACATACATGAAAAAAAATAGGTATTGATTGCCAGAAAGACATGAATCGTGTCATGATACATGAGGAGTTGCACTAACTGAATTGCCCTAAAGGGGGTAGAAAAGGTAGAAAACACCACAGTTCAGTTCTGCTGTCTATTGTCTTGCAAGAAGCTTGTAAATGAGTTTTTGTGTATACACCCCATTAAGCACATTACCATGGGCAATGTGGGAAAGGTTCTCTATACCCTGCTGCTAAATGACTGACTTTGCAAAGAGGAGGCAGCTTGCAAGGAAATCAAAACCTTTTGCCAGTGCAGTGCATTTCCTTTGATCTGTTGATTTTTATAGTGTTTCCTAATTTTGCTAGTATGGTATCCAATTGAGAGAGGGAGAGAGAAGATCTTGTTAAAATTGAGATGGCTGCAAAGGGTTCATGAAGTAGTCTCGTCAACTGTAACTGTCTTGAAGGGAACACTGCCACTGCTCCGTTGGAGTAGGAATAAGAGGATGGTGCCGGGCACAGTTGTCATGGCTTAGCTTTCTTCAGCTGTGTATTACTGACTGATCCAAACTTTATTTTATTCTCCATGCTACAATTCACTTCTATTTCATTTTTTCAGAGCAAGAATAACTTTAGATCTTTTTGGAATTTCAAAGTCCTAGTTCAAACTTAAAATATGATTTTTCTTTTTTTTTTCTGTCAGTTGCTATCATTATTTTTTGAAAATAATTTCCATGTATATGTAAATGACATCAACGTATTTTTGTCTCAGTATGAAGATATGAATGGCAGCAAACCCTAACAAGAACCCCCTAAGCTTATCAGACTCCCTAGCATGCAAATAGCCAGGGGCCTTTCTGGGCTGCTAGCGGAAGGGTTTAGAGCAGCAGATATTTGTACCCTACAGATGACCTTAATGACAAGAATGTGCTTAGAAAGTGAGTACTTGTTTATATGGCTAGGAACTTGCGTAGATGAAAAAGCAGCTTGTGTTAGTGTTGGTGTAGCTGATGATTTGTGAGGAAGGGCAGGGTACACAGCTGAAACAGCGTCACTTCCATCGGGAATTAGGACTGTGTCTCCTCACTAACCTTGCAGATAGGCTACAGTGACTCTACTCCTGCAATTAATGCAGTTATGGGTAATGACTAGTATGGATTTGCTTGAAATGTCTGTATTCCTTTGTTTCGCTTGTGCAAAGCCAAGGAATATACTTTGAACTCGCATAAGTGCCCAAATGTGAATAACTGATATACTCCAAATGTTGTTCAGCTGAGAGCCAGAGCTGGACTATATTCTTTAGAACATTTAGTCCTTCATGCTTGCGGTCAAACCGCCCTGAATCCAGCATTGTGAAGCTGACTGCTAAATTTTATAACATCTGCCTAGTTTTGTCTGTTATGCCTCTCGTTATTTGTTAAAACTTTATTTAAATGTTGGGGGGAGGGTGCATTAGGGAGAAATTTGGAGGGTTTGCAGTGTTTGCATAACTGATAACACAGACTTACCATGCTGATGTTTCTAGCCCTTTCCCATTTCACTTTTTTGCTCAGCTAATTTACCTAGAGTTAAGATTGTTCATCTGACCCAAGCTTAAATTTAACTTTAAATTTCCATATTTATCTTAAAGAATTATTTTTTTCTGAGTTTATCAGTATACTTTGTTGGGCAGTCATTTTTGCATAGTAAGTTTTGATTCTTCCTTATTTTCATTTCATTAGGGGGTAAGTGCATGTGTGAAACTGTGCAACAATTACCTGAAATTATTTCTAAAATAAAAATTTGGTGCAATTTCTATGAGGTGTAGCTCTTTTCAAGTTGGCAAGAACCTACCATACTCCTTACTTGTTTGGCATTTTTCTCTGCTTGCTTTCTTTCCTACTTACCTACTCACTTTTGGGTTACTTGGAAAATTAATTGCAAAACAGAGTAGTTTCATCTTATAGTTTTCTTAATACTTTGTGCTAAATAAATTGGGTAGATGTCTTTTATAGAGTTTAGACAAAAACCTAAAATTTAGGGTGCAACAGATCATATGGCTGCACCTTTTTGGTGCATGGATTAAAAGTTCCTCTTTACAAGATGTGCTGGGGTGTCATCTTGTTTCTGTCACTCTTCTATACTCTCTTCCTGATAAATTTTAGCATTCACATGGAAGTGTGCCTATAAGGCTGCCTGTTATCTGTAGCACCTATTGTATTGCTAACTAGCTACTATATTGCTTTGTTGCTTAAATAACAAGCTGTTCTTATTCTATAATTTCTCTTGGCCTGTGACTGAAGGGAGCTGCCTGAATCTGTGTCCTCACTAGCTTCGTGATCACAGGATATCCTCAGCTACGTTTCCCTTGCAGTCTGTCCGTAACATTCATTTCCTGTCCCAGATCCGGCTAGGGAATAAGTTGAGTTGCTGCCAAACAGTGGGTAGGCTCCCCAGGAGATGTTAAACTGCATTTTGCAGGTAGATGAGAGAATTTTGTTGCCCTTCTGTCTGGTTAAGGCCAACTAAGTTTTTTTTTTTTTTTCTTTTTTTTTTTCTTTTTTTTCTTGTGTGGGAGTTTTCAAGGTCCATCGACTTTTCAGCATAAATACAAGTTTGGACAGGAGTTCTTAAGGAGTCTTGAAAGATGCAAAATGATAATAATGTGCTTATTTAAAATGGTAGTGGGACAGGTTTTGAGATGAACAACAAATACCGGTGAAATAATACTGTATGGAAGCAAGTAAGCCATGAGTTACTCTGTCCAGTCTGCATTGCAAATGGTTTCTTAGGAGCAAGCTCTGGGGGTGGCTCTTCAGCAACAAACTTGTTAATGACTAACATAATGACGGTGGCCGGAAGAAGTTGGTTGGTTGGTATAAATAGCATAACACGGCAATTCTCATAGCCTACATTTCTACCTTTAATCTCATCCTCTGATTACTGTTAACATGCGCAATCATGATTTCCGTGTTCCAGAGTAGTATTAGATTGCCTTGATTTGTCTGCCTTTCACCCACTCAGAAGGGTTTCAGTTATTAATAACTTGATTAGTTGGACGCCTTTTCACTTAGTGGTATTGATTTTTATGTTCTTTATACCATATATTGATCTGTCATGGGAGTGGATCAAATACTTTTTTTTTTAAAGGTCTAATCCAAGGAATGGCTATTAGATTTTTATAGCAGTAAACAGATGTTTTTCAAAAATTCCTCTGAGTCTGTGTTTCCACTCTCCCCTTCCCAAATTAGCTTCCAAGTGCTTTTTCATGCTGGTAAGGTGTCTCATAGAGTGTTTTAGTAGCAGTATTACAAGACTAGAATAGTTAGCTCTTTTCTTTTCTGACCGTGTATGGCCTAACACACACTACATTTTTTCCTCTTACTGTTCCTCGAGTCTTTTATTTCTATAACATTCCTATTTTATTCTATACTTTTTTCTATTTTTCTCCTTCTGCTTTGTGCTTTTTCTATCTGTTATTAAGTTCCCATTCGACTTTTGCCTGTAACTTCTGTTTCACATTTGTTAATTTTTTTTTTTTGATAAATACTACTTTTTTACTTTATTCCATTGCACCATGCTTAGATCGGAAAGCAGGACCAACCATTAGCACTAGAGATTTCATCATCTGACCTTTAGAGAACAAAGGAAAACAAAAGAAAACTATCTACTTTATTTATCTACTTTTTACTCCTGAGTAAATTCTCCTCCTGGAGAAAAAGAACATAAGATTTCTAAATGTATTAACCTTTTCTTATTTACTCTCTCATTTGCACAAGAATTGGGGTACTCATTCAGGAAAAAAAAATGACATTGGGGTACAAAATAGCACATGGCAAAGCTACAAATGATGTTTGGTCAGATGAATCTCTTCTGTTGTATAGAGGAATTTTCTGTTACAGATCAGAAAATTTATTTGTCTCAGGAGTTATGAAAAGCAGTAAAGGTATTATACATAATAATTTTATGTAATTAAATGTAAAAATAGTGTGGATACAACATACCAAATGCTTTTATCTTGAAACAAGCATAAGTGAACAAGGAACAATATGTTCTTTCATCTTGCTTTGCCTGATCCCATTTTAATTTTGCAGTTTAGTCTGGTTAATTGTTTTTCTCCCCTCTAGTCTACAATGTGGGTGTGAGTTTTGTGTGTTTTTGTGTCTTTTGTGTTTTGGGGGGGTTGTTTTGTTGTATTTGTTTTAGCTTATCCAACTATCTTCATTACTGAAAGAAAACTGAATAAAAGAACAAAAGGAGAAGAAAATATCCGGCAGCTTAGTCTTCTTGAGATGTCACTTGATGAACAAACTCCTGTGACTGTTTCTTGCTTTCCCTGCAAAGGATCTAATCAAATGGATGGGTAGATGCACACCCTTGTTTGGATAGATCCAGCTGATTCTTGTAGTTTGAACAACTTCACAAAGAAGGAATTATTATTGTTTTGTGCATTTTGTGCTGGTTTTGGCATAAAAGCTCTCTTAGTCTTCTTGTAGTGTATGCCCAGAACTGCTGGTGGTAAGTGCATGTAGTGGACATGTATTAATTATTATTTAAGCCATGTATGATGATTTGAGCAACTACAAAGCACACTTATTTCTTCAACTCACTCGAATGTAAGAAACATAAGAGCTATGCATGTTATAAAATACATATAAAGACTCAGTCCCATGTCCGGAGGAGCTTGTAAGTTAGGTCAAACAATATAGGGAATATTTGTGCAAACAGCTTTTCATGACCAAGATTCCCAGTGAGTTTTTTATATGTATTCCAGTCTCTGACAGAGTACATTGCATTATTACGCCTTTTAACTTTTGATTTGTAGATCTGAAGAAAACACTTGCTGTCTTACTGGATAATATCTTGCAGCGCATTGGGAAGTTGGAATCAAAGGTGGAAAATCTCGTACTTAATGGAACAGGAGCAAACTCTACCAACAATACTACCACTGCTGCTCCCAGCCTGGGGGCGGCTGAAAAGCTTAATGTAGCAGGTGAGTATGGCAACCTTTAGAGCACTTATGGGCTGTTTAACCTGTGCTTTCTCTCTATGTGCTTTTTTCCGTGTTGTAATGTGGTTTTTATTTCTGTTTATTAAAACCAAAAGGCTAATCAACCCGTCTTTTACAAGCTGAAAGGAAGTCTTTCTACTACGGCAACTTGAACATGTTGAAGAAAATATCCTCTGCCAAAGAGGACTAGGCCATCCTGCAGTTTTTTAGATATTTTTACATCTTTTTATATCTACTACTTTAGTATATAGTTTAAATACCTAAACATTAAAAAGGTGAAAGTAGGCAGATATTTTCTCTGTAAGGCTAATTGCTTGGTCAGTAAGAATCTACTTTGTGCAGATACTGAGACTGCATTTTTAATGTTGCCCGTAAGAAAACACTTATTGTGAAGAAAACACCCATTGTCATTAGTTTATTAGTTATGATGTAAAAATGTCCTTTCTTTCTCTGCCCAAAGAAAACACTTATTAATCAGAAATGCAATCGGCTGTTTGCTCCCCTTACAGCTTCCCAAAGCGCTTGAGTTAACGCCCAGCGGTGGCAGAGTGCCTCACTGCCCTCTGTACCTGCATGGCTCAGTCCTAATGTTGTGTGCCCTGGGCAGATCCTTCCCTTTACACAGCCTGTCCTATTGCCCTTCTCCTTCCTCCGTCACTGAGACAAAAAGATATTAACAGTTCTGAAATCTACCTGTGCATGCCTGTGCGCTGTGGGTGATCCCTCAAAAAGGGAGCAGAGCAGGGCCAAGCTGGGCTCAGGGAGTAGAGCTGTGCTCCTACGCTTTGCCTATGCTTGGCTTTCCTATCAAAATCAGCACCCATGTTATGTTTTTAGTGGATAAATCAAAATAGAGAAGCAGAGGCAACCTTTAGCTGACTAACACCAATGAAAGGAAGCAGGGTGTGGTGTGCGAGAGATTACCTGCTTGCAGGCTGACAGGTGATTTAATGTATGTCAGCTGCTCTGCAGTAGCTGCATTTATCCGTAGAAGGAAATCTGAAGTATATTTAACTCTTGCTGAGAAACGTCTTTGTCCCTCTTTTACCCCATAATAAATGTGTGCTCCTAAGCAGTACCACAGTGCTTTGCTCATGTATAACTGCTTAATTTGTGGTATTGTTTTTTCTATCTTATTTCTGGCCTTAGATTAAAAGCAGATTAGAAATGAGGTACCGTAGCTATATAGCACTTGCAGTGAAATGGGCTGTGTTACTTCCACAAAGGGTGCAGCATGGGATCTTAGTTGCAGATGGAAAGCGAGCTAGGATAGTATTGTTACAGTTTCTGGGTTATCTTTAAAGTTAAAAAGTCCTTTATATTTTCCTTTTGAAACTGGACAAAAAGGAGATTGATGGTGTAATTTCAATAGATCTGCAGATCAGTTGAAAGAAGCAGTTGTCAAAATCAGCTTTTTTGTTGATTTTAAAAAAAGAATTGGGACAAAACCAAAGGTCCCCTAATACAAAAAAAATCCTCATGTGTTTGTTAGCTAAATGTCTACTATTCATCCATCTGAAGAAATCAGATGGAGATTCATCTTATCAGAAGTGACTAAATGAAAAACTTGCTTCTCTTCCTATCTTTCTGGCATTTTCCTGCCAGTAGCAAACTCCAGAAGTCATATAGTTATTGAGGTAAACTTGTAACATAAACGTTCTCTCTGCTGTTTTGAAAATAAGCCAGGTAAACAAGCCTTGTGATTATAGAAGCAGCTGTAGTGTTGGTCGTGTCTGTAATGCCTGTTTCAGCCATGTCTTTTTTAGTATGCGAGAGCAGTTGAGTCATCAGAAGATGTCTTGCTCAAGAGCAAAATGTAATTTGAAGTTGAGTATCACAGCAGGCCAGATTTGCCAGTTTGAATATGCAATGAGTTTTTCTTCACTATATTTTAAGTATTAGTGACACTTTTTCATTTAAACAACACTGATAATCTGCAATCAAGGAGAAATCAAAATGATTCCTCCTTCAAAAGCCTCTCTGCAAATGGTTTTGTTGTTGTTTGCTTGTTTTGGTTTGGTACATTGCTCCACTCAACAAGTAATCCTAAAAACAATATCCCTATGTCACAGGTGGAGGATCACAGTAATGCAGGAACCCTGGACTAATCCCAGAGGTCAAGCTGGTGAATTCAATCTAGGTCATGATCTGTGGTGTTTTTATCTGACTTAGTCACAGACACGTCAATTGTCTTCATTAAAACCTGCGATTGCAAAATTCCTGTGAGATTAAGGACACTGGCTCTGCAGAAGCGAATGGAGTGTTTTTTGTGTTGCTGTTATTAATATTTTGCTCCTGCTCACCTTTTCTGCCTTGACAATTAACATACTACTGTGAAAAAGGAGTATTTACAGTATTAGCATGTAAAGATGGTTTCCCAAGTCATATAGATGTTTTATTTCAGCATGGCCCAGATAAGAGGTCCCCTTTGCATAAGTAATCCAGGTAACAATGCAGAGAGTGTATTTTGAGGAATGGTTGTCAATTAGAGTTGTTGAAGAAATGGTGAAAAAATAACAGGCCAGTGTGTTTAAAAATAATGCTCAGTAATTCAAGAAGTGTATATGTTTTGCCCAGTATGCATTTTTATAGTAGAATGTCTGTCTCAGCAAACTCATGCTTGTAATAAACTTGTAAGATCACATCTTTTAATGTACTCTGTGCAAGCTAAAATGATATTGTTAGCACTTACTCTTGATACTACAAGATGGAACCTATTATCCTTTTTGTTTAGTAAAGAAAAAATAAGATCTTTATTGTTATATGTATTGTTCGGGACCCAGAATACCCTCTCTTTCGTGATCAGTCCCATGCTGTTTGTATATTCTTTTGTAGACATATGTATCCGAACTTTGAGAATGGTCCTTGCAGCTGACTAAATAAAGTAGTCCCCCCATGGAGAAGACCTATTCCAGTTTGGAAGTGGGCAGCAGCTGCCTGTAACTCAATGATGGCTCTAATGTGGGGATACGCAGCCTTCATGAAGAGTTTCCTCTGAACATTTTGAACAAGGAAAGGCCTAATGCTCTTTATTAAAAAGAGCTGTGAAAGCATGAACTACTGTTAGCAGTCAGAATGCCATTTGAAGGATTACCTAATGCCATCCAAAACCTTAATGAAGAACTGCTGTAGGTTTCCTTTATGAATAAATGGTAGCAGCAGTGGCAGAAAAAACTAAGTTTCATGAGGAAAATAAAAAGCCATCAGGGAATTTCCTGGCTATCAAAGATTTTCTTTTGAGAAATGTTTATGGCTTCTTAAAACCAGCATTGATCAATCCTCTAACCTGTTATTTGATCATGGTAGCGTAAATGGCACCAGCAGTTTATATTTCATACCTACCACTTGCTACAGGGCCTGTGGAATTTCCTTTTCTTTCTCCAGAATAGCCTCTTCATTTTCAACTGCAAGCCAAGATATGCTGGTATTTGAGGTCTACCTGAAATTAGTAATTAGTTCTTTGACCTAGACTTAGATTTGTGTTTTGGTTTGGAGTACAAATGTTCACTATTAAACTGTTACATAAACTTTAGGACCTGTGTTGCACTTAAGTTATTCACCACTTTCCAGTGGTCTCTTCATCAGTTATGTTTCTCATTTAACAAGGCATGGAGAAAATGGCATTTTTAAAGTTATGCTTGTCTGGCTGTCAAGCATGGTAGAGAACTGAGACAGCACTGGTGATATCTCTGTCGGAATATATTATTCTGTAGTGGTATATAGAGCCTTTGGCAGATAAAGGCTCTGAAGAAAATCCATCTGGATTAAGCTCATTCATGATAAGGTGATAACAGTTGGTAGGAGGAAACGTTGAGAATTTAGCAAGGACTGTAACTTGATTCTCCTTGAAGTATGTAAATTAAAACTTTTAATTGATTCATTTTTTTTAATTTCCATTTCAAGACCAGAAATCTGTTTCTTGCTCATCAGACACTCAGACAACTGATATTGTTGGTTTATCTGCAGACTGTAATGTGTATTCATGTCTTCATTGTATTTAAGTTTAACATTGGCAATGTGTTGCTACACCTAGTTTCTTCCTCTGAATTTAGTTCTGCAGGATCTCTCACTGAGAAGCCTGACAGCAGCTTCCCTTCTTTTGGGTAGTGTAAGGGGATAAGAGAGCATGAGCTCTTAGTGTATAAAAATAATTGATTTACAGAACAGCCCAAGATATTCAAGCTGTTGTCATCACTGTACTTCTGTGCTTCTTGAATGAAAAATTCTAACACTTTTAGATAGTAAAATTGCATTGAAAACTATGCCACACTGATCGCTTACAAAATATTCTTTTACTTTGTGAAGTGTCACTTGGGGAAAGTTGAATTGCATGGCTTCAGTCCCACGGAAGTGAGTCCATGAAGGTTCATGTCAGGCAATTTCTCCCTGCTTCCCCCACCCATGTGTACTTGCTACTTGAAGAACTTGGAGTGTTTTTTTTTGAGAGAGAGAGAGAGACTAAGAACAGTTAAATATCAGGATGCTGAATTTAGTGCTCTTCGGGGAGAATATTTTGAGCATATCTATTTATAGCATCTATGGCTTTTCTACTTTATACATAGGCTTGTTCTGCTGTATTGGATGTCAAGCCGTCTTTTCCTGTAATAATTTTGGTTTTAACGTGTTTAATATTTTCTTTTTTGAAATTGCTTTTATGGTATTTTTTAGGATAGGTCTAAAAACCAATGAGTAATAAACAAAGAATAAAGTCTCTCAGTGTGTTGCAGACTTTGATATTTACTTGTCATCTAAGGGATGACGGCTTGGATTCCTGTCTGGTACTCAGCATCCTTCGTGGGTAGGTAGCAAGGCAGATTGACAAATGGGCTTTGGTAATGCAGCAAGCAGGCGTTTATTTTAGTCTTTCCAGGATAAGAAGGACCTTCGTCTTGGGGGTGTTTCCATGTAGTACTTCTTGCAGAGGTTAAGCTGACGCACTGAAACCTTTTAGGTGGATAGGAGAGCTCAGGTAGCTCACGCTC